TGTAGTTTATGGTAGTAATGTTTCTACTTATTTCAGTAGCAATGTCTTAGAGAAAATGCTGATATCAATCAAAATAATAATGAAAAAAGATTCAAGTGTATTAAATAAGAAATCAAGAATGCATATCGAACACAAAGATTAAAAGTTCACTTTGGTAGTTATATGCCCTTTATATGCCATACACTTTGTAAAAACATTATCTTACAAAAAAGCATTTTTCCTTTAAAGGTGAATAGCATTTTCCCACATGGGCTAGTTGACTTTCCTGAAACTTTTTTCTTCAGGTTGGGCTTTGCTTCCCTAAATTTCCTATAGCAAGCCAAGTCTAAACATATTATGCCAAAGAAGGAGATTAAGTCCTGCAGTGTGGATAGATTTAAACAAGAGGATCCTTATAAATGCTGTAAATGGAGGGGCTTGTTGCAAGGACAGGAAAATGCTGGCAAGCAGGCAGGCAGATGTCTAAAGACCATTTCCCAGTTTCTGGACTAAGAGGGGATGAGCTGTTTAAAAGGGAAATTTAAAAGGGTAAGAGATTATATGCATATTGGTGAAAAGGGTGGGGAAACTTACTTACGGCTATTCATGAGGAAAGAGGAGCATGCACATTGAGCAAACATTTATGTAACATACACCCCCGTCACTTTGAGGGTGGAAACTTAATATTAGAGCAATGTGCTTTCAGAGTAGTGTTATTGGGGTCTGGAGCTGATAGTCAAGAAAGACTTCTTGAAATATGTTCAGTGCAGAAAGGTGGTGTTATTAAAGCATGGGAACAGGACCCATGGGCAGAAGACAGTGCTTTGGGGTTGGGGGAAATAAAGGGAAGGGAAGTTCCTAAACGATTTTCATATGCTAAAATGACTCGCAAGATTATTTTTCCCTCAAACAAGACATTAGCATTAAGACAGTTGGAGTTTCCTGGAGGAGCATAATACTTTGCCTGCCTCACCTATTCATCAATGGGCTGCAGGTTATAAGGACAATTAATTTTATCTACATTTTCTTTTCCCTTTATTTCCCACATCAAGAGCAGGGCAAAATTCCGCCCCTAACATCAGGAGGTTGTCTTAGGACAAAGAGAGGGTTCTACACTTGGTCTTTGGGCTTCTTATCTCCGGTAAGGAATGCAAGGGCTTGCTTGTATCATAGACTAGAATCAGTTGACCTTGAAGAACCAGGCTTCTGCAGAGACGGCCAGGGGGGTTGTTAGTGGTTCTGAAAAGACACAATAGCTGAATAGAGGAAACAAATCTCTGAAAAACAAGCTTTAAACTTTAGCCTAGTTTCAACCTCATTATCTGTCGATAATGGTTTCAAAATCTCTGAATTTTCAGTATGTATACTTGTTTAAGTTATTTGACCTTTTCAAGCCTTAGTGTTTGCAAATGCAAAATGGAAATGGGACCATGTCTATAAAAGGATTTTATAATATATGTAATATTTTTCAAATGGAAAATATTAACAGGAACGATAAATTAATATCTTGAAAGTATCCAGAAGACTTGAAAAAAATGTAAAAATCTACAGGATACTTCTGAAGAAGTCGTAAATGAGATCAATGCACAAAATTGGTGCTCAAGATGTGTGTAGCTATTATTTTTCACTAACTAATTAAGAGATCCTTTCAGTGAGCTGTGTTATTACAGAGGCTATTGTTTCTATTGGGGCCAAACTCACACTCTGACTAAAGATAAACAAAGTGAATAGGAAGCAAGTTAAAGAAATAGAGATTAGGGAATGACATATATATTTATTTTATTGAATATCAACATTAAGAATAGAAATTTTTAATATTAATTAAAAACTACTATTTGTCAGAAAGCGTGCTAGAATTTATCTGCATTATCCTAGTACATCCTAATAAATGAAAGAGCTAAGATTTGAGTCCAGACAGCATCTGAGGCTGCAGCCTGTGTTCTTATCACTACAGCAGATGCACTTGAGTAGACAGCATGCGGGAGACTCAGAGGAGGATGTATATTTGTTGTGCCCAAGATTGCGAATCCGAGAAACCACCAAGGAGCCGACACCGATGCAAGGACACGAGGGTTTATTAGCAAGCTCGAGCTTGGGTCCAAGTGCACCCGACACAGCGGAGCAGGGACTTGGACCCTGAAGTGGGTTACAGCTGGGTTTTTTATGGGCTGGCCTAGGGGATTTTCAGAAGGGGTGGAGGAATTTCTCAAGTTCTGTTTACATTCTGATATGGGGCTTTCAAGGGCATTGGGCTCTGTTCTCATTCTATTATGGGACTTTCTACCACGGGCTTGGGCTCTGTTGTCTTTCTGATATGAGATTCCCTGCCGAGGACATTCTGCAGTTTTTCCTGTAAAGTTCTGCTCTTATTCACAGGGGCCTAAGATAGCTGTACTTGTGCTAATGCTAAACTTGAGGTGGAATGGCCTTGATTTTTCTCGGCCTCCACATATTTTGATGATTACTTTTATTTTTTTAATTTGTTTATTTATTTTTTTGAATTTATTTATTTATTTATTTTTTTGGTGATTACTTTTAAAGTAGCTCTTTCAAATGCTTGGGCTATAATCGCTTTAAACTAAATTTCTAGAAAAGGATTTCAACATGCTACTTTTTCCATCTTCTGCCTCACCTGCTCTTCCTTCTCTAAAGCAGTGTATTCCACCTCTTTCTTGCCCTCTCACCCTCCAGGGTGTTATGGCACAGGTAGTCATGTGCATTTCTTAGCAGGAGGACCTGAGCCCATTCAGGCTTGCAGCTGATTGCTCTTGCAGGTATCTCTAAGTCCTTGGTGATAAGACAGTCCCTTCCTAGAATAAAACTTTCTCCTTTACACTCTCAAGAATGATTTATTGCTCCTTATGCTTTTTCCTTAGAGTTTTAGCTATATAGAACTGTCATGAAGCTTTTAAAATTATTTTTACATATTTGTCTCCTTCAGTACACCTTGAGGCCTGAGTACCCGGATGCCCATAACAGTTGTAGCTTGAGTCAGTGCATGAGGAGTGTCCTACAAATAGCAATAGCCAATGACCACAAGTGTTCATAGATGTCAAACTTATATTTTGCAGAGTTGAATAGAGAATTCTATCTTTGAGAGCTTTGGTGCTTGGGTAATATAATGGAAGATGCTAATTCAAATTTTAAAAGAGAAAGGAGTTAAGCTGCCAAGAAAACAAAATCTTAAATGATTATTTTAAGATTCCGTAGCAACATGCAATTTATGAGAAGGAAAAATATCAACAGGTTTCTGGTTATTAAACCTGACATTGATTATTTTGTTACACTTTCATATTCCAAGGAAAATTAAGGCCAATTGAATAAACCATAAAATTGGTGGGGTTTCCAGAAATTCTTTAATGGTTAGTTACAAGTTTTGTGCCAATGTTATCAATTTAAATAAGTAATATAGAAGTTGAAATATTTACAACAGAGGATTTGCTGATTTTTTTTATAAAGTGACTTGTCATAACACTTATGTTAGAGTCTAAGATTCATGACCTGTCTAGCCATCTTCTTTCCCAGTGTTGTCTCTCAGTCTCTCTCTCTCATCTGTTCTCTGGATCTCTGGAATATACCTCACACTTTTGCTTCAGGCCTCTGCCAATACCAGCCCCTCTGTCAGCAAAAGTCTTCTTCCTGTCCATTCTATCTTTAATCTTTCCACTCATCTTTCAGCCACTGTTTAAAATTTACATCATAGAGGACATTTCTCTGACTTGCCAATACCATTCGGTGTAAAATGCTTTCTTACTCCCTATAATGGCACTTACAATGATCTGTCCCGACATATTCACTAGTGTAGTAATTTATTTAATATCTTTCTTTGCCACTTCCCTAGACATTATAAGCTTTAAATGATTAAAAAGTACTTTTCAATTGCTTATCATTGGACTATATTTTTGAAGATAGTATGTTTTCATTTCTTCCCTTAAGATGGTATAAGAAAATCATAAATACAGAGAATGTGACTTCCTTTAAGCTTCTGAATATCTCCTGACAGCAGTTATCAAAACTAAATTCTACAACCAGAAGTAACTGCCATTCATCCACTCTCCTCTAGTATTTTAAGCATCCAAATGCCAAAAAAAAAAAAAAAAAAAAAAATGGATTCATTGATAAACTAGTTAATTGCTTTGAAAATACTTGCCAAAGCAGAGAATTCCTTCTAATATTTTGGGTATTTAATGATGCTACCTTTATGTAGCTCCATATAAGAAATGGTGGAAAACACTAGTAATTATCCTTTGACTATTTTCAGTACACTCCTCATGTAATTCAAAGGCCATATCTGACATATTGCCTGGGATTACTCTATTCCATCAATTCTTAGCTGCATTTTCTGTTAACATCTCTGAGGTTACAATACACATAGATGTGTGAACACTTGAAAACTTCTAGTAAGACCAAGAAATTGCCATGTGAAAGTCTTTTTGACTCAATAAAATAGAGTTACATAAGTAAGGTAAATATGTATTTTTTAAAAGCAATAAATGTCTTTTAGACAACCTAAACTCATTTTTTTCATTCCTTGTCTAGATGAATATTTTCATGATACTTTCAGGGTTGAAGAAATCAACTCAATAAAAATACCATGCTTATTAACCTTTTTAAAATTTTCAAACATATTAATAAGTATTATTTAATTTCATCATCTTGACAGCTCTGTAAAGGAAAAGGGAAATTGTGTGTGTTGTTCCTTAATACAGTAAAGAACTGAATCTCATATGTTAAATGCGCTGGTAGCTACATTGCTAGTAAGTATAGAAACCAGAAATCCTCACTTCTGTTTCATGAGCATGCTTCAGTGTTGATACAGAAAAGAAATACATTAGTTTTGGACTTTGAGGCATGGAGTTTAGGCTGCTATGACCATTTTTAACGAAGATTTAGCAGTAGCATAAAATCTTTATGACTATGGCGTCTCCACCATGCATTTAGACAACATTGATTCAAGGTGTGACCATGTTAGCAATATGGATTGATGTATGCCAGCCTGTGTAACTCCAGGTTTTCATCAGGACAGTGACCTACTGGACCGGCGGAAACACTGCTTCACCGTGCAGTCCGAGTCTGGGGAGGATCTCTATTTCTCTGTGGAGTTAGACTCTGACCTCGCCCAGTGGGAAAGAGCCTTTCAAACAGCAACCTTTCTGGAAGTGGAACGGATACAGGTGAGAGTCTATGAAATTTTAGGATTTGTGACTCCTAAAAACACGTGATTGCTCCCTAGAGTTTAAATCTCTAATAGAAAATGCTGTGATTTTGATTAATTTACAAAGTCATTTCCTGTTGTCCAGTCCTGACCACCTCACTTTTAACATGAATGGCTTCATTCTCTTGCAATGCTAATATAGATTAATAGAGATTCATAGAGCCAAGACCTAAATAGACATATGGGCACTTAATTCAAAAGCAAACATATGATGATGATAATATAGCATTGACTCCTCTGGAATGCTTGGCTGTAATAGGAGATTTGATGTACATATTTTCAATATGCTGAACTGATTTGTAACATATATTAATTCTCTTTATTTCTGACTATAACTTTCTATATTGAACATATCAGTTTATACCAGTATGACATGGTATTTCCCCTGATTTTCAGGGGAAAAAAAAACAGGAGAATTTCACTTTTTTCATTGCTCAGTTGACACTTTCTAATAGTTCTGCTGATCTGCATATATCTTAAAATGTTAATGTAACTGAGGAATATTGTTTCAATAACTTAGCTGTAAAGAACCTCAATTCAATAGTTTAATATCAAAAATGGGAACATGAAAAATATCTTCAATATTATTTTATTCTAAGTGCCAACATCTAAGACCACTTTAAGTACTAAAATATGTTAGTTGAATAGTTGAAATTTTTGTTATTTATACCGATATTTTTGTTTTCCTAATTATTATTTCTTTAGAATATCACACTTTACTTGTAAACAATTACATGGAAATATCTATCTGTTGGTCTCAATTTAAGATTTCATTTGAAGTCTCTTGAAGTTTAGAAATAAGACAATATTATATTGTTGTGATGTATGTTAACATTGTGTGTATGGTTTTTGTTTTGTTTTGTTTTTTGAGTCTGGGCTTCATATTCTCAAAGCTGATGTCCTAAGCAATGCATTTCTTTGGGCTATCTCACAATACTTATTTAAGATGCATATAGCAAGTGAAAAGTAAAATACTTAACGCTTTGTTAGCTTTTGATTGTTTTATAAGTCTTATAGTTTCCCTTTGTTTACTGCATTAGAGATCAATATGCAGTGACTGAACACCTTGGTGGTATTATTTTCAAAATTCAAGGATGTTAATATATTTACATGAAGATGTTTATGTATTTTTCTTCTATGTCCTCAGTATTCCCACTAGCATTAAAGTTGTTAAGAAATAAATTAGAGGGAACATATGTTATATTGTGAAATAAGCAGAAAGAAAATTAATGAATTACTAATACAAATTAATGAATTAAATAATTTCTTTTGATTTTGAAATTGGTTTTCATTAATGGGATTGCCCCCTAACATTTTCTAGCTTCTAATCTATTTCTTTATTTTTTAATAAAGATTTTATTTATTTATTCATGAGAGACACAGAAAGAAGGCAGAGACACAGGCAGAGGGAGAAGCAGGCTCCATGCAGGGAGCCTGATGTGGGACTTGATCCTGGGAATCCAGGATAACACCCTGAGCCAAAGGCAGATGCTCAACTGCTGAGCCACCCAGGTGTCCCTCTAATCTATTTATTTATCTATTTATATATTTTTGGATCTCTAATGTACTTAATATTGACATAATATCTACATATTTAAAATGTAATCCATTAAAAGCAGGTATTTGCAAAGATTCTACATTGTTATTTAAATTAAAACCTTAAAATTTGGAGAATGTAGTGAATATTGAAACAGGAAATGACAATTTATATGAATAAAATCTCACTACATATACTTAGCATTCCAAGTACCAGTATTGGGCCTAATTCACTTATAGTATTTTTAGCACCTTTATTTTTCCTTTTTCTGAAAGATTTTCCCAGAGTAAGTAAATAACACTGGTAAAGAGCAGACAATTTATTTATTTATTTTTACCTTACAATAATTCAATTTGAATTAATATAGCTCTTTTAAAATAGGACTTCTAATGAAAAAGCACATCATTTACAAAATTGATTTTCTTTAATTATTAATATTGGTTGAAATTCATATGTGTTTAATTCAGGTGTAAGCATCTAGCTATAATTCAAAAGGATATATTAAAATGTGTAGAGATGCCTGGGTGGCTCCGTAGTAAAGCATCTGCCTTTGGCTCAGGTCGTGATCCCAGGGTCCTGGGATTAGGTCCCACATCAGGCTCCCTGCTCTGCAGAGGCCCTGCTTCTCTTCTCTGTCTCTCTGAATAAATAATAAAATAGTTAAAAATAAATAAAGTAAAATGTATTTTATGTGTGATGTATCTTCAAATGTTATTTCATAATATAAAATTCTACACAAATCTTCCAAATGTTTCGAGTTATCCCTAAGAAGTATAATTTCTTGCTTTTTCTAACTATAATTCAATTTTTATTATAAAATAAACATAGAAATTAAACAAATCTAATATAGTATTAAAACATTAAGTATAAAAAAACATTAAGTATAGTCATCATATATGTTTATTAAAAGATGATAAATCATAGAATTAAACTCAGTGAGTCTCCATTTATATCATATCTGCTTCAATTTAATGATTATTGATGAATTAGTTTCATTTGTAATTCTGAACTTATTGAGATAAGTTTTAATGTTCTGGACTGAAGTTGTTTTCATCTGATATATTCTTTTAAATTATAGTAATTGAGAAAAGCAAACAAATATGTCGAAATTAGAAGGAATAAGCCTTGAACATTTCTTGCTATCGACTGTAGTTTTAATAAAATAGTGATGGGTAGATAAAAGCACAGAAGATAGCCTGCATTAAATCAATAAAATTACACCCAAACTGAACTTAAAAGGCCCATTAAGTAAGTTTTTTGAAAAACTTGACTCCAAAGGAATAATTTAGCATGGTTATAACTTTTCTATGCAAAATGGGCTGAAAGCCATAGCTTTTGGTGAAGGCACCTTGATGCATTTAGCCATCATTATAGTCAGAATGTCATTCATTTAATGTACTTTTATATACAGTGTTATAAAACAAATATAAGGATTAGTGTTGAAAATTTGCTTGAAATCAGTTTATCTCTTTCTCTTCCTCCCTTTCTCCCTCCTTATTTTGAATTATAAGGGTTTTTTTTCATTTAAATATCCCATTACAGTTTTCAATTAAATGGAAATAAAATTGGCCTGTGGACATATAAATGCATTATGTGGCATATAAGTCCTGAGTTTTTATTTCATATTTGTTATTGTTAAATTTCAGTATCTTTATTTTAGTAGTCTTTCCAAAATATTCATATAAGTAAAATTATAATTTAAATTGATCTCAGTGTTAAAAGCCATTGTTGATTTTTGAAGAATCAGTAGGTTTATATAAATAACAAGCAACTGGTTAGTGTCTTTGGGAAACAGCTTGTGCCACATGGATGAAAATTATATGAGAGATTCTTAAGGTAAAGATATTCTTATATGTTTTAGCTTGGTTACTGAATCTGTGTTTGTGTGCCTGAGAGTTCTCTTTAATAATATCCATGAAATTGATATACCAAGAATTGAAGTCTTGAAGAACTGAAATCTTAACCTTTAAGAATTCACTTTTGGTTTAATGAAAATGCAATGATATTTAGCTACAGAATATAACAACGTAACATAATCTTGCCTACACTTAAACGTTTTTATACCAGTATTGCCAATATAGTAAAGGGTGTCAGTGTAGCACAAGGTAAAGACAAGTTTCCACGGAGCAGGATTGGAAATGTGGTCTTGCATACCCCTTGGTAGGTGAAAAATTATTCAGCTTGTTTTGTCAACATTAAGACATCAATAATACTATGTATCTTATAAAGTTATTGCTGATATTAAGTTAGCTATTGCATAAACAATTTACTACAGGAGCTATCATTCTTTGATAAATGTTGGCTATTAATACTGATATTGAATAAAGCACACGAAAAGTAACAGTATTTTCTGTTCTGTCTAGTGCAAGACCTATGCATGTGTGTTAGAAAGTCATCTCATGGGACTCACCATTGACTTTAGCACAGGATTTATCTGCTTTGATGCTGCAACAAAGGTAATGTGTTCAGGTCAGCTCTGAGAGATGTGCTGCAGACAGTGTAAATTAAGAATGATTCAAAAATAATTTCTAACTCCTGTCAACATTTTAATTGGTTATCATGTATCAAATGTAAGATCCTCATTTTTGTTAATAGAAAATAAATCATGCTTTATTTTGTTTATAGAAAAACAAAAGTTTGATTTTTTTTAAAGTTTGAATTTTTAATAAAACATACATTTCCACAAAATATTATAACTATAGAAAGTGAAAATATATGTGTAATATATATACATTACAATTTATAATATATGCATAATATATATTATATATTCTCTTTTACCAAAAATTTAATTAACGGGAAATTTTTTTCTCCCAAATTTTTTTCTCTCCAAATTTGTTTAAACTAAGTGTTTTTTTTTTTCTTATTTTTTCTCCACCAATATCTCTAATATCCAAACAGGGAAAACATTTTTCAGAGTTTAGTTTAGTTTTACAGGTAATATGTTAGAATTATGGTATGGGGAATTTGGGGTTTAGAATTTCTAGCCAGGGAGTATTACCCTTGTGAACCCTTACTGGACTTAGTAAGGTCTTGTACTATCTGATTGGGTTCCTTTTCCACAAGGATCTTTCTCTGAGATTGATATATATTGAATGATAAACAGAATCTTCTCAGTTGGTCAAATATAAGAAACCTTAAAACACAACTATCTCTTACCCATCACTAATTTCCTCCCAGTACTGGAGTCACTGCTGCAGTTTCTGACTTGTGGCTCTGTTCCCTATGGAGGACATTCTTTTCCCTCCCATGGCACATCAATACCTCAGATCCACTCCACTTTTCCCTTTATCAAAGTATGGCCCAAGAAATAAATCCATGTTTCTTCCCACTAATTTTAAGGATTAATGAGTAATTCCTTACCAGGAAACTTATATGTTACTTAAAAATTAAGCATTGTACAAAATTTTCAAAGACAAATACAAGATAATGATATAAGTGTATGAGAAAGGCAGTGTACAGAAAGGGAAAGGGTTTGGATCTTGGGAATGATGGAAGTCCATGGTGCAGTCCTGCAGCTCACAGCCAACTATGATGTGGGTTGATGTCTGAAGATCTTATGATTTTCCATGACTCAGCAATTGAGATTGTGACATAAAAGCTCACATTATTTAAAAATGGCCTTTTTTTTTTTTTTTTTGACATAGTGAAATTAAATTGCATGCATATGCTGGTCAGATTGATTTAACTATCCAGCACATTGCCTTTGCATAATGCCAAAAGAATACTTTTCTAAGTATGGAATTTCCAGTGCCATGGCTCTTTTGATGATTTTCAAATGAGACTGCCGTAAGCTTTTCTTATGACCAAAGACTTTCTTTTAAATAAAATATTCATTCAACTCAGGTTAGGCTCATGAGTATTAAATTAATTTAACACAATTTAATTTAATTATTACTCAATTTCATTCATTAAATCAATGTAATAAATAACTTCAAAAATAATTAAAGTGAGGTCACCTGGGTGACTCAGTAAGCTAAGTGTCTGCCTTGGGCTCTGGTCATGATCCCAGGGTCCTGGGATTGAGCCCCACAAAGGTCTTCTGCTCAATGGGGAGTCTGCCTCTCCCTCTCCCTCTGCTGCTCCCTCTGCTTGTGCTATTTCTCTCTGTTGAATAAATAAAAAATCTTAAAAAAATAAAGTGGTTAGAAAAAAAATAGTGATTTTATAAAGAAAATATTACAGCTATAATTGTCACCAAACTATCACATGAAGATGAAAGATCATACCTCCTAAATGAGAGGGAAAGAAATAAAATTCATCTAAACACATTTCTGAATGCCTGAATTTAAGAGTTTTTCTTTAAGGATAGTGTAATCTAAAGCCATGTCAGGGTCCTTTTTTATCTCTTTGTGTGCTCAGGGAGAAAATCCAGGAGTGGATGTTCTATATGAAATTTCAGGTATCCCTTGCCTGGGTGTGCTGGGAAGGAATGAGTGGCCAGCTAACCCTAAGCAAATTGTTATAGTGTCATCTAGGGCATATAATTTAGCAAGAATGAGATTTTAGTCACTACAAGCTTGATGCAGAAAAAAAACAAAGGCCTTGGGGAGTGGTAATCACCATCTTCCTATTTTCTGATTGTTATTAGAAGTTCCTAACTTCAAGGCCATCTGAGAATTGGGAAGGAGGGAAAGACTTTGTCTGCTTATGATGAACAGAGTATTCATCGCTGAAACTGTGACACTTGCACAATAATAGGGAACTATTAATAATGATGTCAAGACACCAGACAAACACCAGAAGAGTACTGGGCAAACCACTGAGCTGGTGTTACTGCAAGAAGGAGACCTCACTCCATGGAATGAGCCCAAAAGTTATTTTTAAATTAAAAAAAAAAGCTATAATTGTTATATATAAATTAAAACATGTTTTGTTCCAATATTTTATCAAAACAATTAAGTAATATTAAGTTATTTTCTCTACTTGGTATGCATGTGGAAAGAATCCTTAAGAATATATGTCCAGCAGATTTTTTAAATGTTTGGTTTTGGGAAGGCCATAGAAGCCATACAAGGATACCCTTTAGCTGTTCACATTTTGTCTGTCTGCACTGCATCTTGATCAGGTCCTCCAGCTTTGAAGTGATTGGAAGCAAACCAAAGGTCTTATGATAAAGTACAGATTCCAAGAAAGGGGAGGAGGGTGTATGGAGTAGTTAATTGAGCTCGATTTAAAGCAAGTTCTGTACCATCAGTACCTTGGCAAAGGGGAGAATTGCTGCCTTGATATATATATATATATATATATATATATATATATATATATATATATTTTAAAGCAACCATATTTATCATTTTGTACAAGATATTTTTGAAAATGAAATAAACAATAAGGAAAAATTAAATTAGAAGACCATATCAGAGACTCTCATGGTAGGGAAGAGAGTCATCATGACCTTAGTTTACACTAGACTGCTACAAGTTTTGAAGCAGTGAGGTCTGGGAATGTCAAGCTAGTTCTTGTTACTTGTCCCTTGTGCCTGAAACTCTGCAGGGAAAACTATTTCTCTGTATTTTCCAGACAGTACAAGACACATTAATAGTACTGTATTTCCCATACTTCACTTTACATTGGCAACATAGCAAGAGGCTATACATTCTTCTGTTTACCTTAGTGTTGTTGGCAAGATTCCCTCATAGAAGTTTGTTGCTGTAGAGAACAGCTCAGCTTATTCTTTGTAATCTTCATCCTTATTAAAATGTAGACTTTTGAGCATTAGAAAAGGTTTTCTTATTAATATGTCAAAGTATGATATTGCAGTACTAATGATTCCCATAGCCAAAAGGAGATTCATTGTCATTATATCCCTTTAAACATGCATATATGTATTAATTACTTATATCTATTAAGAGATTCCCCATAAAAACAGAGACTTCAGCAGTAACATTTGTTAATATATAGTTATTGATATTTGCTTTTTATTGAAAGATACAGTAGGGGTATAAATACACACACATACACACACACACACCAATCTTGGGTCCTCAAGGAAGGCTTCCTGGAAATTGAAATATGAAAGGTAAGATTATCCAGACAAATATCTGTAAGTAAGGAAAAATATTGAATTTGAGATCAGACAAGATGAGAGATCAAGTTTGTGGGCAGCCAAAAAGCCAGATTATGAAAGGGAACCTAGTAAGGAATTTGCATTTGATCCTAAGAATAGAAGAACCTTTGAAGGGTTTGAGACCTATGAAGGAAATGATCAGAAATGTGTTTGGCAGCACAAACCCAAAAGAACAGCAGATGACTGAGATGGAGAAAACCCGGGCAAAGCCGGGTTCTGAATTTGCAAAATTGGCCCTCCCCTGGACATCTACTACCCAGTGACATTCTAGTGGATTAGCTCTGTCATATTTTAAAAGCTACTATAATGACTTTATATTTCCTTCTTGTACTCATTACTAACTTTATTATAGTTTGAAAACATTATCTGGAGGAAATTTATAAGACTCACATGTATGCCTGGTGACCTACATTTTAAGGAACTTAAATTCTGTGTAGTAAAAGACAATGTCACCCTAATTGAAATCACTTCCTTCTTGGTTTAGAAATGTTCTTTATAAAATTAGAGGAATTTCTCTTCCCAAAGAATCGTGCTTCAGAATTAAATTCATTGTTAATTTATTAATTCCTGAAGTATCTTAATCTCCATAATCCATTTATACCTTTAAGTACACTCTGGTTTCTACAGTGTTTCATGGTAATATTTGAAAGGAAGTGGAAATGATCTCTATTTACACTTTTCATTTTCAAGAGTCTTTGATATATACTGGATAATTTGAAGGTCACTAATTTTAAGGCACTTTGAGCTATTGTTTCTCATAAAGATATATGTTCTTCATTTACACACACACACATTTCATTATATGTTTGACTTTTTCTAAAATGCATTTATATAACTATAATATGAATTCTATGGGTCAAACCTCTCAAAATAGAATTAAACCTTTATTTTTTCTGTTTATGCTGTTTTTCTCTAATATTGCAACTATGTCAAATCAAAGTAGATATTAAAAGCCCAAAAGGAAAGCTTGAAATTATTAAAATGAATGTTTTCTTGAAATGTCTCCTACATAAGTAGAAATCTGAAATATATATATGCTATTATGTAATTACAATATTCATATAAACCTTAGCATTTTTTCTTTTTATACTATCTTTCAATCATTTTGCTTCCCCAATTGTGTAACTTACAGCCCCCAAACATGGACAAAGACATCAAATTCTATTTCATGGAATTTTTACATTCTTCTTCAGAGAAATTATTTCTTCTTTGCTTTTAGGAGAATGAAGAACATTGCATTTATTGCAAAACAAACTCAGACATTTAGGGAAACAATCCATCAGGTAAATTTTTTTTAACCCTCAAGCATTTAAAAGATAGCCCTAAAGGAAATGTTCAAAAGAGAGATATTAACCCAAGTTTTCATGCCAGCAGTATATTAGCCAG